GTGGCCCTTTTCATCTGCTTATCTTCATTAAGGCATTAGGGCTCCTCTGCTCTGGCAGCTCCTCCCAACCCACATTCATAAACAGCCTCATTCTTTTTTCCCCCTTTTTTAATTGAAAGAAATATGGTTTTCTACTTATATGTTAATTTCTTAATGGATAAAGTAAATAAGTAATGCTAGTCAATAAAAATGTCCATAATCCTTATGCTGTCCATGTGTTGAAGGTGAGGAAAGGGGCAAGGTAGGAGGGGGTGGAAATTTTAGTTGTTCCTCAGCTCATCTTAGCACAGCACCACTCCTTTGAATGAAGTTACACTGTCCTACCTGAAGCTCTTTCTCTTGGCTGTGCTGTCCCAAGGCACTGAGCACTTTCACTGCAGTGAGAATTGCTGGGAGCTGCCTGTGCCTGCTCCACAGTCTGGGAATTCCCAGATGCTGGGGCATCACTGATACCAGGCTGTGTTTGGGAGAAAAGACACAATGTTCATGTTCCAGAAGCAATTCTTCCAGCTCTTGGTGTTACTTTTGGTAGCAGAAGAATATGAAAATAATGATCTTTAGCATAGGCAAAGTAGTCAATGTGGATGCCATTTTTTTTTTCTCTTAGATCGAGAATGTATACAAAAATTTATATCTTAAATCACAAATTATTATGAAAATGCATATATTGACTTAGCTGTATTTAAAGCAGGCTGGTTCAGCTTAACTTTGTATCTTATAAGTTGAGACTTTTAAATTATCGTCATGTGCTGCCTGTCACCGTTGTTGTCCTGGGTATATTATTATGGGTGACTCACCAACACCACAAGCACTGTCAAAACCAAATATAATTTATTTTTAAATAATGAATCTATTTTCTTTACCTTGAACTGCATTGATATTTTCCCTCTTGTTCTTCTGGCCTACTCCCCAAGTGTCTCATGGGCCAGCTGCATGTATGTCTTGTCTGCCAGAGATATCTTCTCTCTTATGAGTCAAGAAAACACATTTGAATTTATTCTCTGTTCACATCACCACTTGAATTCTGCTCTGAGTCCATTCCAAACAGTTATAGCTAAATCCATGCAAAATTTGGGGGGAAAAATGAGATGTTTTGAATCCAGAATTAATATTAATGTCCAATTGTACTGTTATAATAAATACAGCATCAAACCCCAAAGTTTATGGAGGCTCAATTCACTTCTAGAAGCTGTATTTCTATTCAGTTTCTGTATGTCTGGCTCAGATTTTGTATCAAAAGTCACTCAGCATATCACTGTGAATGTGTCCCCTCTCCTGACAATATGACATTTTTGTCAGCAAAGAGAATGGGAGTAGAAAATTCAGTGGAACTTAAAGACTCTTGGGTTTTCTTGATCTGCTCAGAGAAGAGTTTACTATTTGTCAAGAACTAAACCCCATTTGCTGCTCTGCTGCCATCTGCCTTTATTGCTCCAACCCTTCAACGAGACTGTGGCACTGTGACAACCACTTTGTTGTGCCTTACATCAACCCCAAATCATGCACTGAACAACTGTGTGCTTCATTTAGTTCTTGTTTTTAATCAAGACTGAGAACATCCAGCTCTCCTGTGCTGGAGTACTTCTGGATGTTAGCAATACAGCATTTTTCTGCAGGTCTTGTTCTGTTTTAGTCTTTAAACTTTGTTTTAAGCTGTGTAGCACCTTTGGTTCCTTAATTTAAATCCCCCTACTGCTGCCTTGCTGAGTCTGGAGAGCAAGTGAGAAACATCCCCCAGAGGTGTGAATTCCCCCTTATTTTAAGCGTGCCACACGCAAAGTCTCCATGCAAGCCCACCAAGGCTCAGCCCCAGCCTCTGCTGCCACGGGGTGCATATGCACGTCTGGTCCAGCCTCACAGGGGCATTCCCAATGTCCCTTCCATCAGAGTGGGCATTCCAGAGGCAATTGTGGCTGCTGGCATGGTCCAGCAGCAGGACAGGGGCAGGAGGAGCAGTGGGCCATGGGCTAGGGCAACCCACTTAGTGGTATTCTCTCTGAACTTCACATGATGGCTTTAGAAGCTCTCTCCAGCAATTCCTCTTGGAAAATACCACTTTGAACCATTTTCCTGAATTCCTTAGGGATGTTGCTAAAGCTTCTGAGAAATTATCACTCATCTGCATCCAATACTAAGAACTCTAACAAACTGTGGGATAATTTTTCCTCCCAGGTAGAGGGTGCAGCAGATTCTCAGACTTATTTCCATCTCCTTTTCTGTAGGAATACAGACACTGACTCACGTTTGTGCAAAGCCATCTATTTAAAACAGGTCCAAGAGGACTCTGGAACATGTAGGAAAGAATTAACTTTACTGAATGATGCCAAAAGGACAAATCGCAGGCTCCTTTTCTGTTATGCTCCATTTGGCTCCATCTTGCTGTATAGCCAACTTGTTTTGTTTTTTTGCCAGCTGCCAAAGGAAAGGAGAGACCTGCAGGAGAGGGATGAGCTGCCCAGAGCTTCCCCCCCAAGCCAGGCCATTGAGGGGCAGCAGAGCCCACCAGCATCAGGAGTGCACAGTTTTAGCCTTTATAATTCTGCAGGAATTCCCTGGAGTCCTGAATTCAAATACCATTCCTTGGGAACCATCAGGCTCTCACAGATGCTTGGGCAGCCAAGAGTTTCTGATCCCCTGCATGGATGGATCCCACAGAAGCACTATCTCATTTTAATTCTCAGAACATGTGTTGTTATTATTTGTGGTAGTTAAAGGGCAGAAGGATCACAGCCTTGTAAACCTGGTGGGTTCTGCCAGTCTGGCAGGGAAGAAATTGTCTCTTGATGTGGAGTCATTTTCAGACAATACAGGAACCCACCAGGTCCTTTTCACAGCTTCTCTGGCTTCACACTGAGCATCAAAGCTCAGGGAGAGGTGGCAGAATGTGTGAGGTGTGGGGTGCCACCGTGACATTTCCAGCTGGAGCTGCCTTGTATTCCTGAAATTGTTTTCTTAGGAGTTGGTGGGTTGTGTAATTCATTCCTTCTTTTTCCTTGCTGGTTATTATGGTCTCTGTTCTGTGTTTATAATGACGTGTGTTTACTAATAGTGTGGTGGCATCCACTGCCAAGCAGCTTCTGCTAACAATAAAACAAGGGAAAAGTGATATTTATGAAGGCTCGAGGGCTGGCTGGGCTGCAGAGCTTGATTTTTATTGTAGCTGACTGCAAACTTCTCAGACACGAGAATCTGTCTCTCATTGTGGAGAGCTGGTATTTGTTTCAATCTGGGTCCCATTATTGGGGTTTGGTTTGCATTCTGTAAGGTTGGCCATGTGCAGATTCACACAAACAAATGTGGAATTTATGTCTGTAGCTTTCACTTGTGGGATTTAAACCTCCACCTATTTGAAATGTCTCTGGAAGGGGATGAGAGGAACTACAATGTTCCTCTTCCTAATGGAAGGATGTGTTGTGTAGCAACAAGCAGGCAAATAAAAATAGTTTGAATTAATTTCCACCCTCTCCTGAGCCACCAGGGCACGAGAGAGCTGTGTCAGGGAAGGAAACCACAGCAGATGTCACTTGCCACTTGCTGCCTGTGTCCTGTGGCTGTGCAAAGGGACCTGTGTCCAAGACTGTCATCAGCCCAACACATTTCTCCAACCAGCTACTACTTGGAGACACCTTCCTGCCACCTCCTGAGGTTTTCAGGCTCAGGGTGTTTCATGTTTGGAGAGCCCTTGCAGTGGTTCTCAAGCAATGTAAGAGAAAAGAGAAATTCCCAGAAAAGCTCTTTATTTTTGGGAGCAAACCAGCTCCACTTAAGCAAAGATTTTGCCCCAGATGACAGAGATGGGATATTGGAATGCAAGCAGTGCATGGGAATGTTGGGGTGTTTCTAAGAAGAGCTGCGTGTTTGTGGACAATTGAGTTCCCCTGGAGGAACCTGCTGCTCCAAGAGGTGACTTGGCAGAGCCAGAGCCTCTCTGGGAAGTGCCTGCAGGGACAGGGAGGCAGCTGGCACTGTCTGCCTCCAAGCCAGGGCTCTCCCTGAAACAGCAGCAGGACAGATTTTAGTGCTGATGCAGAACTTGGTTCATTGCCAGACTCAAACCTACAGTTCCCATCACCTCTCAGCTATTACTAATAATGTAATATTCTATTTTTTTTTTCAAATTGCACAAAAACAAGAGTTGTTTAACTCCTGTATTCAGCTTTTTGATTTCCCCTGTGACTGTAATCCAAAATACTCATAGAATAAATGGTGACTTGACATTTTACTGACCAAACAGGGGTGTGAGGGGGACAGCCTAGAAAAGTACCTTTTTCTCTGGAGGAAAACGTTTGTGATAATAAGATTTCAGGTGTAAAGTCTCCTGCTTCAGTGTCTAGTGTCCCATGTCAGACATGATCTATGTCTGTATCTTGTCCTACCAATCAATCCACATAATTTGAGTAATGGAAACCAATTTTTTCATGCTGAAAGTTATGCCAATTATATATGATTGAGTTATGAGTTTGTTGTCCTGCATCTCTCATCTCTGGGGTGAAGAGGAGATGGTATTTTAGGAGTTGGTTGTCCTGCAACACAAAAGTGCAACCAGTGCATCTCATACCCAGGAAAGTTTTAACAACTTAATGAATTTAAGCTGACTCCTGAGAACTTGACTGTGCAACTCTATAGTCTCTAGCCCAAGTTATATTACAGGAACAAGTAAACATAATCCATCTGATTTGTCCTTTTCCAGCTCTAAATTTTCTCAATTACATGGGCGAACAATATGTGCTCTGCTTTTATTTCCCATACAGTTGTCATTGAACACCACTTCATAACCATGTGGAATAAGTGAAATATGAAGTATGTCTGTGTTTGGAAAGTTTCCTGGTTTTCTTACCTGGATTCACATATAGGATAGTTGCCATATTAAAGTAATAAAAAATGAACATGAAAACCTTTCTGTTGAGGGAAGAAAATAATGACTCAGCCCCAGAAAAGATGAAACTTACGGTTTATGAAAGGCAGAACAATGAGTGTCAGAATTGGTTCAGAGGTGGCAGCAGCCCTGAATTTTGAAAGTTCACTGTGGTGAATTGTTCTTCCCACAGTTAATGGAACCAAACAATCACAGCTTTGGCTGTCATTTGTGCTGAGACTTCAGGGAGAACTCTGCTGGAGAAGGATGGATGTTTCTGCAGTGTTAAAGGTAATTCTGTTTATAGTCTTGAATTTTACTTCTCAAACAAGAGCTTTATATTTGTACTGAATGCAGAATATTTTAAGTATTATCATTAGAGTTAAAATGCTGTGCAGGTTGTAAGTCCTTTGGTGACAATGGAGGGAGGTGTTGGCACACAGGGACCCTGACACTTTGCTTGTTCCTGTTGTATAAACTGATCAAAGGATGAGCTGCTTTCAACAAATGCAGCTTCTCCAGCAGCTGCACCCACCATGGCCCCAGAGGTGTCTTTTGTTCATCCCCTCTGTGTTTGCCCATGTGTTGGATTCAGAGATGAGACAAAGGGAACTGACCCTAAAATGAAGCAGAGAAGATTTACACTGGATATATGTAATGAATTCCTTCCTGTGAGGGTGGGCAGCCCTGGCACAGGTGCCCAGAGCAGCTGTGGCTGCCCCTGCATCCCTGGCAGTGCCCAAGGCCAGGCTGGACAGGGCTTGGAGCAGCCTGGGACAGTGATGACATGATGTTTAGTGTCACTTCCACCCCAAACCATTCTGGGGTTCTGTGCTTCTCTGTTTTGAGCCATCAGATGAGAGGTTTTGTCTGCGTGGGGGTCACACTTGCCCTCCTCCCCCTGCCTGTCCCTTCCTGCTGCAGGAGCCTCTTGCTGTGAAGCCTTTTCTGTATATTGCTGCCAGAGCTGCTCCCCGGGGCTGTGCTCAGCCCTTCGGGGCTGTTGGCATCTCCTGCTGGCAGCCAGGAGGAGGGGAAGGAGGGGAAAGATCCTGCAGAGACCTCTGCAACAGAGCCATGGGGGAGAGAGCTCACACTAGGGACTGGATTCTGTGTTTGGGGAAAAAATTTAAATTGTAGCTTGCTGCTAGCCATTTATCTCACCCAGACTGTGCTTTTACTGCAGGACTTCATAAATAATATTTCATTTCAGGTTTCCAAGGACTGAGTAAGGAATTTTAAGGACCAGACTGAAGGAAGCATATTCTTATCATCACTGTCTTTGATTTAGTGCTCTTTGTAAACTGCTGGGAGGTGGTGGGTTCAGGTACTATTCATAAATACAACACATTGAACTGGGCTGTGTTTAAACCCCCAGAGTTTTTAGTGTTTTAGCTCCAACACCTTGGGACACTCTGAGGGCTCAGTTTTCAGGAATCCAGGTAACACTTCTGCATGAGAATGTAACTTAAAGTCAGATCTCTGCTGATAGACATTCTTGTGCTGGCAGAGTGATTTACCTCAGTGGACTGTCTGGTTTTTGGGGAGTAAATGGCAGCAGCTACAACTCTTGAGCTTTCTTAAAGTGATGGTGGAGAGCTTCTTCACCTGGAAGAGAGGAGGCAATTCAGGTGGAGTCAGAGGGGCCATGGGCACTTGCACAAGCTGAGGATTTGTGTCAAACTCATCTTCCAAGTTTTCCATTGTGCAGCATTTTTTATTCCAAGAACTATCAGGGTAACTCCACTCCAGCTGCTGAGGAACTTAATCCAAGATACTCTGTAAAACTCTTCAGGTCGTACTGTCACAAGAGTTCTGCATTCCCACAGCTGATCAGTGGTGGAGTTTTTCTCCCTAAGTATCCTCAGGAGCATGGGTTGCCCCCACCAGCCTGGGAACAAGGACTGAGTCTATTCACCCACAGAATCCACAGCCATGCTGATGCCTCCTGCACTCCCTGTCGCAGTGGCTGCTCCAGTACTGGGCTGGTCAGATCCCTTTTACAGCCCCAGGGACCTGTCCTGCTAATGCTGTGTGAGCACATGGTGAAGAAAAGCACATTTCTATGTCTCACTGGGAATTATTTTTCCAATAGGATTCACACCATGTTTGGAATTCTGCATATGTTGGTTACTCGTGATTAATGCAAATGAGAACTCGTTGCTCCCAGGCTGGATAAAGCATAATTGTTATAACCAAGAAAACTGGGAGAAAGCACTGGGAAAAAAAGTAGACTGTCTTCCCCAGAGAGATCCAGGGAAATTAGACTAATAACAGAAGGTGTGTTGCCTGGAGAAAAGCTTAAAATAAAATTTGTGGGTTTTGCTTTCACACAATGTAACTGCATGTACATACATGGCTGTGTTGGGAAAGCTCTGGATGAATTCTGCCTGGATTGTTTGTCTCTGTGTCTGGCAGCAGCTTTGATGCAACCTGGTGTTGCATCTCATGTTGCATTTGTCGTGTGAACATTCATGCATTAAACTCAAATATGCCTTTAATGAGTATCTGAGTGAATCTAAAATAAAACACAAGAGCAACATAAGCCCAACCAAAACGAATTCACAAATCAAGAAAAGGAGGGGGAAGGGGAGAAACCAATGTTTGCAGTTCCTGCCATGGCTGTCAGATGTTCCTTTTGGTGACATATGTCAAATGTAGTGGCAACCTGCAGCTGAATGCATCCAAATCAGCAAGGGAGCCCTGGCCGAGTGCCATGGGCTGCACATCTGTGTGCCAGCCTGAGCCTGGGGGCACCTCTGCATCACAGCCTGGGGGCACACCTGTGTCACAGCCTGGGGGCACATCTGCATCACAGCCTGGGGGCACCTCTGTGTCACAGCCTGGGGGCACATCTGTGTGCCAGCCTGAGCCTGGGGGCACCTCTGTGTCACAGCCTGGGGCAGTAGGACAGGCTGGCAGCTCTGCACAGGGTCACAGGTGTCACTCTCCCAGCCTGTGGGGTACCTGGGCCATCATCACTACAACACTACAGGTTTTTTCCTAATAATCTACTGCCTATGTGGAGTTCTGGCATGAGGCAGCATGGGACAGTTCGTGCGACCCTGGCATTTTTAAGAGTATCATTAATTTTCAGCAGCATTTTAAAAATATTTTTTTAAATATCTTTTTACTCTGCTGAATGCAGTGTGTTACTGGTTCTACTTCCAAGGGACTAACAGAAAACCCTTGATAGAGCATCCCTGCAGTTCCTGGGATTTGGTGCTACTCAGTAGTGCAGTCTTGGTGCAGTTCCACAGGGAGTTTGTTCTAAGAATCATTTGGCAGCAGGGAAGCAGGTCCCACTGGCTCTGCAGAAAGTTCCCAGTCCAGAGAGTTACAGCCTTGGGTCTCTCCTGCCAAGTTCCCAAATCTCTCTGTTCCTCTTCATCACTGTAGTTCTGAAAACAGCAACAACCAGTATTTGTATTTACAGCAGAGCCTCCCACCCAAGCCAAAGGGAGGATTCCTTTCTGCTGGTCGCTGGAAGCACCTGGTGCTCAGCCCCGAGACTCCTCAGAGGGGCCGTGGGCAGGGGCATCATTCTCACACCCACCACTAACCCTTCCAGAAGTTACAGGTGGAAAGAGTCACCACATTACCTCCAAAACATTTCAGAACTTGTGGAGTTCTGCCCTGGATAAGGTAATTCTTGTTTATGGATTTCTCTCAAATTAAATATCCTCTGCCATTTTCACAGCTAAATGTTACCACGATAGGCACAAACATGGAAAAAGATGGTATTCTCTTGTCTTGAAAAATTCTGACTTGTGTGATCATGGGGAAAAGCCAAGTCAGCCTAGAAGTGTGCTTCCTCTCTGCCTTGTCAAAAATATTCCTGGAGGAGGGACAGTCACAGCTGCTTTCCAGAGACCTTGTATCTAAGGAGTTGGCATTCCCTTGGCAGGGAAGCAGAGGCCGGTGTCTTCCACAGAAACCCAGGAATCAAGTCAGGGTGGGGATTAGGGTTGCTTCAAATACACTATAAAATAATATTAACTCTGAGGCTGAATAGCTGAGATGATGGACGGTTGATCTGGAATTATGGTTATGGCAAAAATTTGTTTCATGCAGGGGGTACATGTTGAAGAACTTGCTATAATTATGAGGGGGAGTAATCAGCAGGGAGGAAGAGATTTGCTCAATGCAGAAGAACCTACCAGAGTGGGCAAAGGATTTCTGGGCTAATGGAAAAGATACGCTTCCTTTTGGAGGCTTCCCAGAATGGAAACAAGTCCTTGGGTAGTGCATCCTGAGGGCTTGGCACGGGGACTCCAACACCTTCCTGGCAGCCCCTTCCAAAGCCTGACCACCCTTTCCATGAAGAAAGGGTAAAAGAATAATGTAGAACTTCACTTCCCAAAATCTTCCATCTCCTGTGGCAGGGGAAACCTCAGAGCTTTTACCAAACATTTCTGTTTGGTGTTTGATCCATGCTTTGAGTTCCTGTGACAGGAGAACTGTTACACTTCCAAATGCTCTGCTGGTAAATTCACAGGAAATGTGGAGCTTGTTGCTTTGTGCCTAGCCCTCATCTGTCTTTACTCATCCACATCTCCATCAGCGCTGAAAGGCAAAGAGCAGGAGAACAGAACCACACCTTGATGATTGCAAGAGCTCCCTGGAACTCATGGGAGAGGCACAATGATCTATGGCAAACCAAGGAACCCAGGAGCACAAGGATTCTGGAGGAGACCCGAGGGCCTGCCCAGTTCCTATCTCTGACAGAGGAGTGTCTTTCATGAGGATGAACATTAGAAGTTCGTTTCTTTTCAGAAATAGGACATTCAGCCAACATCTTTTTTTGTTTTATAATTCTTGAAGAATGCTTCCAAACTGTCACCCAATGCCAAAGAAAGCAGAGCAGTGTTTTCCATCAATCTGCAGGACATCTGATGGAGTTCAATGGGACAATCTACCTGTCCAAATTAACAGGCATCACACTTTCCAGGACTGGAGCCTCCAGAAAAGTTCATGCTCCACAACTACAGAGATATATGAGGACTGAGAGGGAATTTTGACTTCTTTACTGTTACTATTTTAGAGGTGCCTGGAGAATCAATTTAATAAATGTCTCCAAACTTGCTTCTTCCCCCATCAAAGGGCATTTGAACCCCCAAGGCTGAAGCCCTGCTGTAATTCTACAAACTCTGTGGTGAAGTGAGGTTGCTCCTGGCTGGATTGTGTCCTCTTCTCGATGTGCAGGCTCGGCAAGGCAGAGGGGGACACTGAAGATTTCTTTGTGAGAGATTGTCTTCTGCTGCAGATCCTTGTGCCTCAGGCATAAAAAT